TCATACAGTTCCTCATTTGGTGGTGACCCCCAACCATAACATTATTTTCGTTGCTACTTCATCACTGTAATGTTGCTTCTGTTATGAATCGTCACGTAAATATCTGATATGCAGGAGGGTCTTAGGCGACCCCTGTGAAAGGGTCGTTCGACCGCCAAAGGTGTCGCGACCCACAGGTTGAGAATCGCAGTTCTAACGGGAAGGGTGTGCCCTTGGACATCTACCTCCCAACCCCTCCCCAGCCCCGTGACCACATCCCACTCCCCTCCTGCCAGTTGGCTCTTTAGAATCCACATGCAAGTGAATCTGCAGAACTTGCCTTCCCCTGTCAGGCTTAGGAGATGGTGACTATGTAGGGAGGGAGCAGTTAGCTGCGCTCCGTGCTCATCACTGGGGAAGCCTTCAACTTCTCACTGCCCTGTGGGTTTCATCTCACTAAAGCTGGGGGAACGGGAAAAGCTCATGGCTCTGCTTCCTCCTCCCAGCCCCTGGTCCCTGGCTGGCCAGTAGTGCCTGCCCCTCCCCAAAAGCCAGCAGGGAGGGAGCTGCCACCCCTCGTCACGCGTCCCCAAGGGCACTGCTGCTCACCCTGTCCTGGGGGCCACAGGGGCAGGCAGCACCTCCTCAGCATTCACGAGGCCAGTGAGGGAGGGAGATTGATTTTTCCAGCAAGAAGAGGTTATTCCATGAAATGTCGCCTCCACAGAGAGGTCCAGGTGGAGGTGACACACCATTAATAACTTGGGAAAGCTCTAATCAGTCCCGTTAATTTGGCATTCATTGTAAAAACATTCTTCATGGGGCACTGAAGCCCATGACAGTAGCAATAAATTAATTCCATGGAGTAGTGGATGGAGCTGCTGTGGCCAGTGAGTCGCCCGCTCCCCCCGGGTGTCATTTTGTGGCCCCACGGGAATCAGTAGCTTTAATATCCACCTGCTCTCAGGTGAGCCAGCTGAGTGTCGAGCAGGTCCCTGGGCTGGGAGTGAGGAGAACTAGGGAGGTTATGGGCCTTCTCCTTCCCCCCTCGGGCTTGCTGAAGATCGGGGATTTCATTTTTTTTTAATTTTATTTTTTATTACAAAGGGTATTACATATGTGTCCCTTTATTACCCCTGCCCTAGACAATCCCCTGGCCTCCCGTACCCTCCAGTGTCTTATGTCCAT